ACATAAACAGAAAATGTAAACAAACTGATTATTTCCATCCATGTTTTTACCCATTTTCTCCATGTGTAATATGTTAGGATTTTGAAGTTAACTGTTTCTAAAAACGTATTTGCAAATTTTTCAACACTGCAAAAATTGCTTAAAATAATGAAGCCAACAAAATGAAGTCAGGTTTAAAACATAAATGAAGAAAAGGAAGGAAGGGAGGTAGGCAATTGTTTAAACCTTCTTTCTCTCAACATACTATTATTTGCAATTCAGCTATCTTGATGCATTTAACAGTAAGCTGATTCTTGGCCAGACACAGTGGCTCGGGTCTGTAATCCTAGCATTTTGGGAGGCCGAGGTGGGTGGATCACTTAAGGTCAGCAATTTGAGACTAGCCTGGCCAACTTGTCTTTTCTAAAAATACAAAAATTAGCCTGGCATGGTGGCAGGCACTTCTAATCCCAGCTACGTGGGAGGCTGAGGCAGGAGAATCGCTTGAGCCTGGGGGGAGGTGGAGGTTGCAGTGAGCCAAGATTGCACCACTGCTCTTCAGCTTGGGCAACAGAGAGACTCCGCCAAAAAAAAAAAAAAAAAAAAAGTGGATTCTTTTTATTGCTGAGTAGTGTTCCATTGTATACCATTTGTTAGCCCATTCTCTTACTGATGGACAGCTGGGATGTATGGATGTTAGAAGGAAAGGTGCCTTGAACTATTATACGTTTTTATGTGAACATATTTTTTAAAATTTTCTTGTGATTAGAGCTGCTGGGACAGAGAATCAGTGAAACCTTAATTTTATCAAATGTTTTTTATGTGGAGTTTTTACTTAATTGATGAGTTTTAAAAGTAACTTCTAAATTTGAAATGTCAATTATGGAATATGCTTTAATGTAATCTTTTGGGATAATCACGTAATATTTTTCCTTTAGATTTTTAATACAAATAACAATAAAATTAATAATTAATAGTAAAGTAATACCTTTCCAGTCTTCCTAATCTTGGAATGTGGGGACAGGATGAGAAAATATCTTTGAATTTTGAGATCTTTATATGGCTCTCTCAAGGCCTTTAAAAAGAGTATTTAATTGTGTTGATTTATTTTAATGATTATTAAAATTTTGACTGTTTTTTTGAAGCTACTTCTTGTTTATTTTCTCTTTAGAGAAAACTGCTCAATCACAAAACGTAACATAAGACTTTCATGTCAGTGTCCAATAGAAATGAATTCTTTATGGTGACCAGATGGGGTTATAATCCAGAACTCTGGTAGGCACATCCATAAGGTGCAAGGTGTATTGAAAAGAGTACCAGTTTTTTTGGCTGGGTGAGGTGGCTCACGCCTGTAATCCTAGCATTTAGGGAGGCTGAGGTGGGTGGATCATCTGAGGTCAAGAGTTCAAGACCAGCCTGGTCAACAGGGTAAAACCCCGTCTACACTAAAAATACAAAAATTAGCTGGGTGTGATGTTGGGTGTCTGTAATCCCAGCTACTCAGGAGGCTGAGGCAGAAGAATGGCTTGAATCCAGAAGGCAGAGGTTGCAATGAGCCAAGATTGAGCCACTGATCTGCAGCCTGGGCAACAGAGTAAGACTCTGTCTCAAAAAAAAAAAAAGAAAGAAAAGAGTACCAATTTTAAACAGGTGTGACTCTGAATCCTCTGCTTACTAGCTACATGATCCTCAAAAAATTACGTGCATAACTGAGTCTCATTTCTTCATCTGAAGAAATGTATGAAACCTAAATCCTTAGGGGGTTTTTGGAAGATGGTATATTTAGAGTATCTAATTTATGGTGTGTATTCTGTATGTTTAATTTTTCTTCACAGTCATCCATACAGTCAGTATTTATTCGGCGGCTACTCTACAGCAGGCTCTGTGCTAGGCACTGGGGATACACCAGTGAACAATGGCCTCTGTCACACTGCCTGTCATCCAAGTAATTACGAAGCAGTGCTGCCTACACCACGACAGGAGAGAGTGCTAAAGTTGTCATAAAAGGGAGGTCAGGGAACATTCTCAGAAAAAAAGGTGTGTATCTACAGTGCTTTAAAGGATGAGTGGCAATTATCCTGGAGTGGCAAAGGAGAGCATTGCTTGTTTGAAAAGGCAAAAGTAATTTAACATGGCTGGAGTGTTTATTTAGTTGGGAGAAACGGCAGAATAGGGGCTTCCATAATCGTCCCAGGTAAATTGGCAAAGGCTGTATATCGGCTTTTTAATTTTTAAAATTGCTAAATTGTTATAAAATTAATTTTGTTGCAGCTGAATGTGACTGTAGAAAAGCTTCCAACGAATTAGATTGGTTTCACTTTAAATTCATGATCGAAAGCTTCGAGTGAGCCCGTCCCTCATCTATTCACTCCATCTTAGATGATCGCTTCATAGTGAATCTCTTCCAACCCTAGACACTTGTTTATCTATCCTCCCTCTCAGCTGGTGACTTTCTGACCAGAAGTATTTCAGATTCTGGATTTTTTCGGATTTTGGAATATTTGCATATGCATAATTAGGTATCCTGAGGATGGGACCCAAGTCTAGACACAAAATTCATTTATGTTATACATTTGCTTAGTACATATAATCTGAAGGTAATTTTATACAATGTTTTTTAGTAATTTTGTGCATGAAGCAAAGCCGTGACTGTGTTTTGGCTGTGACCTGTCACAGGCAGTCAGGTGTAAAATTTTCCACTTGAGGTGTCTTGTCAACACTCAAAAAGTTTTGAATTTTTAAGCATTTTGGATTTTGATATTTAGATTAGGGATGCCTAACCCATATTATACAAAAAGTAGATATCAAGAAATTGTTTAGGTATATTTGCAAATATTTTCTTCTTGGGTATAACTTTTTGTAAAATATTTTCACTATTATAACATTTATTTACTAACCCATATAAACTTAATAAAAAAAAGCTATGATTATTTTAATATACTGGATGCACTTGTTTCTATCCTCTTCAGTTTTATATTCTCAATAAATATATAACGACTAATAGAAAATAATATTTTTTGCTACTGAATAAAACAATTAGCACATCTTCTATGAGAGACCTTAAAGTTAATTAGGCATTTAATCAGGCTAGTAGTTCTGACTACATGTTAGAATCACTAGATGAGTTTTTTAAAATCCTGATGCTGAGGTCCCACCCCAGATAAATCCAAATGTCTATCCATGGAACAAACTGGTATTTTAAAGCCTTCCAGGCGATTTCAGTCTATAGCCAAGATTAAAGGCCACTGGTTAACCAGCGCCTACCACGCCTTGGACATAATTTGAATAAACCTTTGTAGACACTTCCAAATGAAGATCAGAGGATCTCTAGCATGCTGCAAACATGCCGTCTCTGTTTCTGTCTTATTTAAAACGTAACAGAAGACTTTCTTAAAGGATCGGGGTAAGAGTCTGAAGATGGCTTGGCATATCTGCCGTTCAATCTCTTTTAATGAACACTAGCAAAGACTTGACTCTGTGTTAGGGGCTAATGGAAACACAAAGGAGGAAGAAAACATGACCTCTGCCTATAAGAATCCCAGCTAAATACATTAGATAAGTGGTTTTCCTCTCCAGTCTTCATGATCCCTGTCTGTGCAATGAGGATAATGCAGATATCTTTCTTATCTGATTGTTGAGATGATGTTAATAAAATGTTGTACATAACTGCTTGTGAATGGCGGCACATTAAAAAAAAATAATGTGGCTGTTATTTTTGTTTTCTTATTTTCAGCTGATAGAAGCTGACAAGAAATTTTTACTGAGAAGTAGGGTAAAGACTCTCAAACACTATAATGTGCATGCCTACACTCTTAGATATTATGGGAATCTCAAGAAGGATTTGAGGAGAGAAAAACAATATGTGGCAGGATGCTGATGTCTCTCAACTCTCCATGAATTAAGATGATAAAACTTTTAATCTGTAGAAATAAGGTAATGTCATGACCCCTGGTTTTGGCCTAGGGAGTTAAGGGTCTCGGATCCAGAGAAGTGAACTCTATTAATGACGTGGTCATATCCGTGTGGGAGCTTGTTTGGAAATGTGCAGAATTGATTCCAAGATGTTTTAATAATGCAAGCCAGGGTTTGCATCTCAAAGTAATGGTCCATCAAGGATGGTCTTTAGAGCTATTTTCTAACTGACATGCTTAGTGCAGACTCACATCAAAATGCCCTTTTAATAAGAATCAGTAACTGGTAAACTGAAGCCTAACTCAATTTGTGTTATTTCTCTGCAAATCTGTAAGCCATTTATGTGCCATCACCTGAAGACCTCCCACCCAAAGTTATTAGTATACAATAGGATGCATAACAGAGCTCCATGGCTTCTATGTGGAATAAATTATTTCACTTTATTTTTTAAAATATTCTTTATGTTTATACTCAGAGTAAATGAGCAATGTTATACCTATTCTCCTCTGTAAATTGTCACACCTTAAGGTCCTTAGGATGGCTCAACTCTTTCACTCTTCCAGCATAGGAAAGAATTGTTTAATAAAAATAAAATGTGTAACAATGGATTCATGATCAAAAGAAGGCAAAACAGAAGATTTTTTGTTTTCTATTTCTCTTGACTGCTCAGCTAATTGCAACACCCACTAAACCATTCTTTATCTTGCCCGCATCATAGGGTTCATCCCTAATGTTGCTCAACATTTTATACCTGTGTGGAAACTACCATTTAACAAAATTTCATTTGATGCAGGAAAAAAAAATCATTCTTTCAATATTTGATAATTTTGTAGGGTCCAGCACTTTTATTAGATTTTTATTTTCTTCAAGAGAAATAAAATAGAGGCAGTGGCAAAGGATTACTTCTCTACCCCCCGGGGTTGAATACTCACCTGAGGACACAGTGTGCTTGATTCTTGATTTGAGATTCCTTTTTATGCTTACTTACTAGGACTTTTTTATTTGTCTTCCTCCAGGTGAAATAATTAAAAAAAAAATGGAGAATGGGACACCGACTTACTAATAAAGAACATTAATAAAGAATAAAAAATAGCCCCCGCCTACTAATGTTTTGGCCTCTTCTAGATAGCGGTGCAGGAGTCAGTGGCTCAGTTGTTCATGGCCCTGAAGGTCCAGGGGTATCCGACCCTCAAGGTACCCTATGAGACGCTGAACAAACGCTTTCGCGCCACTCAGAACATTGACCGGGAGACCAGCCACGTCACTATGGTGGTGGCCGAGCTGGAGAAGACGCTGAGTGGCTGCCCCGCCGTGGACTCTGTGGTCAGCCTGCTGGACGGCGTGGTGGAGAAACTCAGCGTCCTTAAGAGGAAGGCGGTGGAGTCCATCCAGGCTGAGGATGAGAGCGCCAAGCTGTGCAAGCGCCGGATCCAGCACCTCAAAGAGCACAGCAGCGAGCAGCCCGTGGCGGCCAGCGTGTGGCAGAGGAAGCGCATGGCCGCAGGATGCTGGAGCACCTGCTGCGCTGCGGCTACTACAACACGGCTGTCAGGGTGGCGCGCCAGAGCGGCATCGAGGACCTCGTGAATATCAAGATGTTTCGGCCGAAGAGGTAGAGGAGTCCCTGGAGCGACTTGAGACGGCCACCTGCCTGGCCTGGTGCCATGACAACACGTCCCGGCTCCGGAAGATGAAGAGCTGCCTGGAGTTCAGCCTCAGAATCCAGGAGTTCATTGAACTCATCCGGCAAAATAAGAGATTGGACGCCGTGAGACAGGCGAGAAAGCACTTCAACCAAGCAGAAGGGAGCCAGCTGGATGAGGTGCGCCAGGCCATGGGCATGCTGGCCTTCCTCCCTGACACACACATCTCCCCGTACAAGGACCTCCTGGACCCCGCACGGTGGCGGATGCTGATCCAGCAGATCCCGTACGACAACTACCGACTACACCAGCTGGAAAACAACTCCGTGTTCACCCTCAGCCTGCAGGCCGGCCTCTCCGCCATCAAGACACCACAGTGCTACAAGGAGGACGGCAGCTCCAAGAGCCCCAACTGCCCTGTGTGCAGCCGCTCCCTCAACAAGCTGGCTCAGCCCCTGCCCATGGCCCACTGTGCCAACTCCCGCCTGGTCTGCAAGATCTCCGGCGTTGTGATGAACGAGAACAACCCGCCCTTGATGCTGCGCAACGGCTACGTCTACAGCTACAATTCTCTGCTTTCTATCCGTCAAGATGATAAAGTCGTTTGCCCAAGAACCAAAGAAGTCTTTCACTTCTCACAATCCGAGAGAGAAGGTGTACATCATGTAGGCCCCTCGTCGCCAAGCGTACGCCAAGGGTACGGCTGCAGCGGGCGGGGAGGCCGCGCCTTCCTCCTGCCCCGCGCTCCAGCTGGCCGCGGCGCTTCTGTTCTTGCGACCAAAGATCAGCGAGCAGCGATAAATACTCTTTAGGAAGAGAGGAAATAAGATTTAATAAATTTGTACTTGAAAACAACATTTTGATTGGTAGGATTTTGCAACATGTCAACCATTTGATGCTTCTGAAAAGTACTTTCAACTTTCGAAGGAAACTTTCCTTTAAAGACTGACCTAAACCCCGAGGGAAACTTTAGAACGTTTCAAAAATAGGAGTCCACGATTTCCCCGTGTTTTTGGTTTCTTCCCTTCTGCGAACGGTGAGACTTGGAGAACAGGCTGGTCCTTCGCCACCTCCCAGAGCCCCTGGCCCGGCCTGGGAAAGGTGGCGGCGGCGCTGGACTGAGCTGCAGCGACCCGCAATGCCGCGCCATGAGGGACACACGGCTTCCTTCGAGAGCTGCTGCCGTGGGGGGCTGGCTTTGAGGGCGCCTGCCTGCCTTCGGGCCGTGTCCGCGGGACTGTCTGCGTCGGTGGGTAGGTTCCATATCACATCCCCGTGTGCCGCCTTACTTCCTGCTTCGAGAATGTATAACGTGGAAATCCACGGGACCAAGTTTCTGCAGAGGCCTTGCCGGGTGGTTCCATAACTGTAGAGTCGAATTAATCGTTCAGTTGAGAGTACTGGTGACGTTTCAAAGCAAATGAACCACCGTAGTTTTCACAGAACCATATCATGGAGGTTTGTAGTTAGCGCTTATTTTTGCGTGTTGATGTTGACTAGCTAATAAACTCTAAATGTAAACCATGGAATAAAGTGGTTTTCTATTTCTCAATAAATAAATAAATAATAAAAAATAAACAAGGCACAACTTGAGAACATACATATACAAAAACAGACTCAACTTTTATTTCAAAAAATTAAAAAAAGGACAGAAGTTTGCTGAATTTGCCTTACTCCTAAGATATTTTTGCTTTCACTTCGTTGGGAAGACCCTTAACACGAGGAAGCCGGAGCTCCTGGAAAACAGGCCCCTTCTACCCAACATGTTTTCTGTGGGGCTGTTCAGCTATTTTCCCTAAGAAGAGGCAACTGGGAAACAGCCTTAGGCTGTAATTTTCCCATTTTATCTTAAGCAATACCATAACTAGGAATGGGTGACATCCAGGAGGTTTGTTTGCCAGATAACATTCTCTTTACAATATAAGGGCTCTTTGAGAGAGTTAACATAATACATCCTCAGAGTAAAGTCTAGGAAACTCTTTAGAAATTAAATATTACTTGAAACATAGGAAAGTCGTTCAGGTGACAGAGCTATTAGAAAATAAACATCTTGGGGGGTGGGGAGCGGGGGAGAGATAGCAAGGGGAGAAATGCCAGATGTAGGTGATGGGGAGGAAGGCAGCAAATCACACTGCCACGTGTGTACCTATGCAACAATTTTGCATGCTCTTCACGTGTACCCCAAAGCCTAAAATGCAAAAAAATAAATAAATGGGGGAAAAAAAGAAAATAGGAACATCTTTAAAATAAATTATTACAATGTAACTTATCATTCATTAATGTTGTTAGTGTTTATGCACTAAAACATAGCCCAAAAGAACCTATTTTATCCTCATATTGTAACACAAATTATGTTACACTTGAACAAAAATCCCTCAATGTGAAGCTGATTTTAAATCCATCATCAGCTCTACTAGTCAAAAATGGAGAATCCTTTTGCATTTGTACCTCTGGCAGCCAAGGTAATGTATCTTCTCTCCATGTTTCTTTATCTATTCATTAATGAATTGCTTAGCGTTAATGAATAAAGAAACATGGAGAGAAGTTGCTTAGCGTTGAAATTGTCCATGGTCCAGTTGATCCAATCAGAACGATTTCACAGGCTGGTTGCATTGTATGTTACCTTCTGTTGTCAATTCCCATCCTTTGGTCTCCATAAGAATAAAAAACCGAGGGTTTTTTTTTTTTTTGCCATTGAGTATATAGAATATTTTCGGTTATTGTTCAAAAGTGAAGCCACAAACCAGAAACTGTTTTTCTTCTTTGTTTATTTGCTCCTTTAGCAATGTATGTTTCATGGATGTGAGCGCTCAGGTCTAAATTTCAGGTCTACATTCAGCACAGCATCTTCATGGACAGCTAAAGAGATTGCAGGTGGTAAAACAGAACACGTGTGGTCATAGGATGAACCTACTCCAAATATTTTATTAATCTCTTACACTCCCCTCTCTCACAGGCTTCCTTTGCATAAATATTTTATATTATGATTTTATAAAGAAATAGATACATTAAATACCTCCATTGTGATTGTTCTTAAAATTTAGCATAATTATCTCTTTTGAAGAATAGAATGGTCCTTTAATCAACCAATTAAAATTGTTTAACCCACCAGAAGAATTCATTTGCTATTTTTAATAATTAGTCACAAACTATATGTCTAGGACTATTTAATATTTATTTTAGCTCCATGTATATTATTTCCATCTACTTTTAATGTTAATCGGTTAACAGTATGAGTGTGAATATGTGAATTTCTAAATGGAAACAGATTTACCTTCTTTATTAAGCTTTGGATTTTCAAGGAGAGCAATGGTTAAATATGATTAAGGCCAATTTATATGTAACTACATTATATTTTTTTCCTGAAATTGACAGTATAGGTGAATGTATTCTGGTATTGTACTTTCTCCTTTGAAATAATGAAGAAGCCAGATAAAAGGATTATTGCTCACAGAAGAGAATGGAAACAAGCAAGAGACCCAGGGAAGGGACTCAACCCACTCTTTCTCTAAAATTATTCATGTCTGAGACAACGACTGATTTCATGAGTGTCTTCTTACCTCTATGCCTTTTTACGGCATATTTTAAGGTTGATTTTTGAACTGGATTTGCAAATGTTTTCTAAGGTTTCAATGAAGGTCAAAACGCCTTTGCAAACTATTTCTCGGGATATGAACCATGAGTATGTGGGTCAGTAGGTAGCAATGATGACATGACGCACTTGTGGAGAACTACATGGTGAAAGATTAAATGCTTTTTGCCTTAGATCAGAAAGAAGAGGTTGTTCACTTGTCTAGAATGAATGCTCTGAGTTTCTTTATCAGCTTAGCTGGTAACCATTGTTTCCAGCAGCCACTAGAGGCCCAGACAGAAGCACAGCAGCAGGGGATCCACCTGCTTGGGTCAGATTGCAGACGTGGCTTCAATGACATGACCACGATGTGAAAGTTCTCTGGGGGCACACAG